CTTACTGGGCCATTTATGGTGCTTTGATGTGGTTTTGAGGGTTATCTTTTGGTGCTTTGCCTTATTACACAGTAAAGTGTGAAGACTCGCGATTAATGGAGGTAAAAAAGCTACAAAAAAAGAATAGTTTGATACGTCAAATATAAAAACAACGAGGAGAGGACAAGAGCATGTTTAATATTTGATAAATGTTTCTTTACACAAAAAGGCGACCTTTCACTCGTCAAGTCACTGTGTAAATGACTACGCTAAGAAGGATCCGCATTTGTCACTCTTTAAGGAAGCAAACAAGCAGAAATGACGAGTCTATAGCCCGCGGTCCATCTTTGCCTTTAAGTAAGTAACATTTGTTGCACTTTCATTCTTTTAATTTTCTTTGTTGTAAAGCACTTTGTGATTTATCTGCGAGAAGCTCTTTATAAAAAATAACAATGTAAAACAGTGAAATACAACAAATTAATTAAAAGCTTGCCTATATAAAAATGTCTTCAGCTGCTTTTTAAACGAATCAATGGCGTCTGCACAGCGTAAAACCAGCGGGAGAGAATTTCACAACCTTGGTGCCACTGCCCAAAAGGCCCGATCACCAACTACTGGAGTGATATGAGATCTTTGCTTGGTGCGAAGATCTCTCTTTAATTCAGTTTATTTATATAGTGGCAGCACTCGCTTTAAAGTGCGTTACATTGTGAGCTAAATAAAATACAAAATCTATCCACCACCTACCTGTAGTCCAGGCCTCGTGCATGGCGCACTTCTGCTTGAACTTCTCGGCCAGGTGGTCGAGTCTCTCCAGGCGGCGGATCTCTGTCAGCAGCCACTCCTCGTAACCCTTCTCCACCTGCTCCAGACCTTTCCAGGCATTTGCGATGTCCTGAAGGAGAGGGAGCGCTTTCATTATTACCCCGTGCTGAGGAGGAGGAGTGTTAGGCGTATTATCGACACATTCGAGGGGAATTAAGAGCTCGTGGCGGCCCGCCGTACTCTGACTCTGAATTGATTTGAGATTGCAGACCTTGAGAGGTTTTTAATATCTGTAAATTTCTCAGAAAGCAGTAGCTGAAAAGAGAGTCTCTTTGAAGTTTTGCTTTATACAAAGAAGATGATAAAGAAACTATTTTTTTCTTTTTATCCTTTTATCCTTCTTCTTGACTAATTTGAGCTGAATCTGGGTGAATGTTTGGGCTGGATCGTACTCCACTCACCCTTAGTTGGAAGCTTGCCTGCTGGTGGGACACTATATGTGGAAGTCCCTGTTGGTGACAAACTACTAGAAAAGATTCAGTGTGCTCATTATCTCCGTTTTATTCCCCGATGATGTGTTGGAGTCATTACATAACCTTGCCATGAAAATAAAGGAATTTTGATTTTATTTTGAAAGCGGAGTGCTTTGGTGTTTTCAAAGAGCACCTTGAATAGAAGTGCCCGTTTCTAAACACCAATCAAAGTGTGAATTTGTCGTTTTGGTCTCTTTTTTCAAACTCTACGTCTCATAAAATCCTTTCCAAACTAACACACAAAGAATTTAATCTTTCAACTGATGTGTGAGCTTGAAAATCCTCAGTGATGCATTAAATCGTCCTCCTTGCTCACCGACACCATCTTGCCCTCAGAGGGCATGAAGGCGGGCCTGTTGCTGAGCCTCAGCTTGGTCTGCAGGGTGTTGAAGTTGATCTCCAGCTGGCATTTCTCCTGCACGCGGGGCGGCTTGTGGACGCGACGGTAGTCACGGAAATCCTCCAGCTTCTGCTGCATGGCGCGCATGGTCTGCTCCGCCACGCGGTTCTCCAGCCAGGGGATGGTGCGACGGATCCACTCGAGAAGCTGCAGAAGAGAAAC